ACAATGTTGTGATCCCAAACGTACTCATTTCCTGCCATTTTGCTCCTTATTCAACATTGTTTGGGTTGAGGGGGAAAAGTCCCCAGTTCCACTAATATCACTAGGAGGTCCCAACACTTTTCAGTGACCTCTAATGTAAGTGAAGCGTTAACCTGCAACCAGGGGTTATTTTTCTTTTCCTCTCTAATCCCCCCCTTCCCCCCCCCCCCGCCCCCCCGCTCCTCTCCAAAAAAAAGTGAAGAAGGAGCGTCTGATACCAGGTTACCGTAGCAGCTTCACGATCAGCGATTTTGGTAAGTTTTTATAGAGGGCCTGAGGGGAATACGCGAAGGGAAAAGAAGTCCACCCAGGAAAGACAAGTTTAAAACTGAATAAGTGAAACTGGATGGACTATTAACCTGCTTCAAATATTGTTTTCTTATAGAACAAAGAAGAGACCCCATGGAATGGGCTTTTATCTTTGGCAGATATCGAGGAAGTTTTGAAACAGGTTAGTTTACATGTAAGAAGGATGGGGTATTTCTTCTCTAATTCACAAAAGCTAAATGACGATCCGACCCCTCTGTTTGGCTGGTGATAAACGTGCAAAATTGTTTCATTTATCGGACTAGTTCTACATACAATAGCAAAGGTTACGCTCTATGTATTTTTTTTTCAAATTCGACTTTAACAGTTTATTGGCGTATTTCTTCGATGAGGGCGATGAAATAACTCGATGATTATGATTAGCCTGACTTGTACGCAGTCGCTTCTGTACTTGTCTGCTCTGTGATTGATGGGAAGGTTTTAGCAAGTTCGCGTTGCATCAGGGGAAGGACCTACGTCTCCTTCCTTTTCCAGCGCCTTTGCGTGTATTAGTACCTTCTCCGATTTTTTTGCGGATAGATAAGAAGAGAGAAATACCTGGGGTGATTCTAAGAGGGGTTTTCTCCTTTGAGACGATACGAAGCAACTTTCTTTCTGAATAACCGTTATCATTATTCTGAAAGTGAGGGTTTTTGTTCACAAGTAAATGCATGGTTGAGCAGCTCACTTTGTTTTAAGCGAGAGGGTTAGATCAGCAACTCGAAAATGAGTCATTAAGCTTGTTCTGTGATATGATAATGATCCATGTGTTATGTATATACTACCAAATCTGCAAGAGAAGAATTCACACTATAGTAGACATCTTTTGGTGCCGACAAGAAAAACTGTCTGGTATGGTATAAGCAACAACGGCACAGAACTGGAACAAGCCGACCGATCGAAAATCGAGCCAAAGCGGCTGGCCGAGATAGTTCGGTGAACTTACTTCCGTATTAGTGTATTCCAGTCCTTGCCCCTTCTTATTCACTTCCGCTACGTTCCGGACACCTGTTCATGCTTCACTTAAGTGTGGTTCAGAACCTATCCGATATGTTATGATCCACTTTCAAGATCTGCGCGGCGCAGTTTCCCTTCGATATAGAAATCACGCCAAAATCAGCGTTCCTATGTGTGAAGGGAATCCCTATCAGGGTTGAATAGCTATCTGTTATTGGCGAATATTAATCCTTGTTTACATTTTTTGCCTCATAAGCATATAGGGTTATCATTATCTGATGAAGCCAATAAAATGAAATTTCTGATCTAGCCGCCGTTGTTTTGGTTTTCAAAGCCGGCGCTTTTCTTTACTGGTGGACTATAACATATAGCATATAGCAGCTCAACGAATCAGAACGCTGCGTTGATAATAGACCACTAGGTGAATTTTACTAATTGTTGATAACTTGTATTTCTTTGAATTGAAAAGGATAAATCTTCCGAGGTTGAGTTGGAGGAAAGGATTCCGTCTCTGGTGGCTCCCTCATCGGAGGAGTGTATATGGATAAAAAACACGCATATCCGGATAACAGTGGGTGATTTAATACAACAAACCACAGACGCTGTGCTGATTTTGAATAACGAGAAACTGTGTTTAAACAGCGGCGGTGTATTGAATGCTCAGATTGCTCGCTTTGCGGGTCCTGGCCTTAAAGAAGAATGCAAACGAATCATAGAGAGAAGTGGCCCTCAACTTCCGGGCGAGGCGCTCATAACAGGATCTGGAAACCTCCCTTACAAACACCTTGTTCACGTGATCAACTATCCAGGCTCGCCTCAGATCCTCGACCTGCAGCTGAGTGTCAAGCGTGGCCTTAAGCTCGCCGACGCCCATGGACTCAGTTCCATTGCGTTGCCGGCTATCGGCGCGGGGAGTATGGGGCTTTCTTTTCAAGAGTCGGCACGGGTACTGTCCGGGGGTATCCTGAGCTTTTTAGAGCGCCCTCCCCAGTTTCTTCGTGAGATCAAAATCAGTCTCTTTTTGGAGAGCATGTTGTGGACCTATTCCCAAGAAATAAAGACACAATTTGTTCCTTTTATAAATCTGGAAGAGTATTCTCCTCTGTCTTCGTTTGCTCAGGGCCAAGACCCCATTCCAACGGTACTTCAATACTCAAATCCGCCTCCTTCGCTTGAAAACTCACTTGATAACAGGAACCCCAAGGCGCCTGTTTCCACGACGGAATTTCGTGTTTATGGCAAAGACAAAAAGAATATCATGGCAACCATTAATAGTTTGCGAACGGTTTATGCCAAACACCGTGCTGCCCAAAGGGTAAGCCACAAGTTGGTGCCACAGGTTATCCAATATTGTTGGCCATTGCTCAGTACTCTTGCTTCGCAATATGACGCAGACTTAATAACTGAGGATAACAATAGTTCTACTATCACTGTATGCGGCAACTCGGAGGACGTGTCTTTTGTTGTAGGCCGCATTTGGGAGGAAATAACGCGGCTCGCGGAGCAGCAAAATGACATTGAAAAGCGCAAGCTCTTGGCTCATTACGTTCGCTGGCATTATATAATTCTAGACAAAGAGATTGGTTTTAACGACGAGCTCAGCGCTATCATCGAAGATGCCAGAAATCGAAAATGCGGGGGAGTAAATCTTCTCGTCAGCGATTGCGAGTACAGAGTAGATTTTAATTCTATGACCGTGTTGTACAGCCAGAGCAATTATCCACCGCTTCCTTTGTGTCGAAGAACAAGTGCGGAAGCTGGTAGGTCAGATAAATAGATAGATAGATAGATAGAAAACTTTATTAATGTGTAGGGGCCGTACAGCTTGGGAAAAACCCCATACTAATCTGGGGACACAATTTATAATTGGAATTACGTATACAAAATAGATTACCAACTTTAAATTTGCTCTTAGTCATTCGTCACTTTAGAAACAGAAAGAGAAATGACCCGAGTTAACTTCCCAAAGGACTTCTGGGAATGTTTCAGGGGACCAATAGCTGACCAGCGCCTCTCCAGTAACGATCCCATAACAAATTGCGAGATAGATTTCGGCTCCAGTTCCCTTTTCGTTTCTAAGGTGGCGAATATGATCACCACCATCCGAGCAAAAGAATGGGCCGAGTTAACTTTCGCAAAGACCTCTGGGACTGTTACTCGAGAGTGAGAAAAAAACTAGCCAATAGCTGACCGCGCTCACCTTTCACATTCATGCGCGAAATTTCAAGGCTGCCTCTATTTTATTTACGCTCATACGCAAGTAAAATTACGCCACAGTGGACGTTTTAATACAACTATAGCGTTTCTTTCGTTTTCTCCTTTCCTAGCGGATTCTATCCCTCATTTCTGGGCACCTCAACCGCGTTTAATCGACGGAGCTCCAGCTCGTGTTGCCATGGTAAATATCTTACCAGGGAATCCAGAGTACCAACACGTGGCCAGTATGTTTTATAGTACAGGAGGGAATGGCAACATAGTTACTATAGAGCGAGTGCAGAATCTGCCCCTTTACAAGCAGTACACGATGCACAGACAAGAGGTGGAGAATACAAATTGCAGGTCGGGACTTAAAAACCACAATGAACGGCAATTGTTTCATGGTACCAAAGGATGCAATGTAAGGGCCANCCTCTCCAGTAACGATCCCATAACAAATTGCGAGATAGATTTCGGCTCCAGTTCCCTTTTCGTTTCTAAGGTGGCGAATATGATCACCACCATCCGAGCAAAAGAATGGGCCGAGTTAACTTTCGCAAAGACCTCTGGGACTGTTACTCGAGAGTGAGAAAAAAACTAGCCAATAGCTGACCGCGCTCACCTTTCACATTCATGCGCGAAATTTCAAGGCTGCCTCTATTTTATTTACGCTCATACGCAAGTAAAATTACGCCACAGTGGACGTTTTAATACAACTATAGCGTTTCTTTCGTTTTCTCCTTTCCTAGCGGATTCTATCCCTCATTTCTGGGCACCTCAACCGCGTTTAATCGACGGAGCTCCAGCTCGTGTTGCCATGGTAAATATCTTACCAGGGAATCCAGAGTACCAACACGTGGCCAGTATGTTTTATAGTACAGGAGGGAATGGCAACATAGTTACTATAGAGCGAGTGCAGAATCTGCCCCTTTACAAGCAGTACACGATGCACAGACAAGAGGTGGAGAATACAAATTGCAGGTCGGGACTTAAAAACCACAATGAACGGCAATTGTTTCATGGTACCAAAGGATGCAATGTAAGGGCCATCAACTTACAAGGATTCAATAGAAGCTTTTGCGGAAGGAATGGTTAGTCGACTATGTAGTTTTGTCCCTGTTTTGTTTTAAACCTTTCTCTCTTTCCTTAAAATGGCAAATTAAAAGTCAAAATTCCACAAAACTTCCAAATTTTATTTTGTAATGCTTACAAAAAATTACCATGAGAAAGGGCTGTGAAAGATTTGCTTCAATCAATCAGAAGCACTGCCTACATCTAGGGTGTGTACTCGTTTCTCAGACGTCATTTCGCGGTGAAACCGATGATGGCGTCGGGAAATGTAGGCTGTTTTCTCTGTACCTCCCCCCCCCTCCCCGCCCCTTCTGAATTTTCTGGATCCCCCCCTGAGAAAGTTACTGGTCACTAAGTTTTCGGGCAAGACTGGGTAGGCGCGGTTGTTCGGGGCTGTTGGGGGACGTTCTCACCTCCTTGCGCATAATTCTCATAGTGCAATTCGCCGGAGACAAACTCCGACCAGTCTCAATGGCTAATGTTTGGTACTGAGGAGGTCTGGAACGAGAGAGAACCAAGGGGAAAATGCAGTGAACTCTCTCGTAAGCGAGAAAAGTTTAAAATATCTGAGAAGTGGTCGCTTGCAAGAGAGTTTGTGAAACAGTATTTGACTGAGAAACAAAACGGTTATTTATAAAGTGGTCGCTGTGAGAGAGTTGACTGCATCTGAAAATAAAGAGGGGAAAATAAGAATTGGGACAGCTGCCCTTTTTAGTTTTCTTTTTGTCTTTCCCGCGGCTTTGAAAATTATTGCTTTCTTGGTCCTTTGTCCCAATTTAGCGTCTTGTAACACAGATTTCCCTGCGACTTGTTTCACGCTGCAAACATCGGAAATGACAACAGGAAAAATTACTCCATCTTAATTACAAACCAATTTTCTGTTGTTTCAGGAGTGGCTTATGGAAACGGCGTGTACTTCGCTGCAAACGCCGCGTATTCGATGGGTTACACAGCGCCTGACAGTAACAAGCTGAGGCACATGTATTTGGCCCGTGTTGTTGTGGGGTTCTACGTGGAGGGCCGTAAGGGCCTTCTAGTACCTCCTCCGCTGCGCCCCGAGGTCCCCGAGGTCCTGTTTGATTCAGTTGTGGACTGTATGAGTAATCCAAGAATATTCGTTGTATTCAAGGATTCTCAATGCTATCCCGAATATTTGATTACATTTCAAACTTAGAAATAGTTCAACACCAGTCTAGCATAACTCCAGACTGCAGTGTAGGCGTATTATGTGCGGACGAGGAGCTGAAAACGCCTGCACTGCAGGTTAGGATAACGCAATTCCTTCTCGTTACGCGTGCGGTAACTGTCACAGAATTTGGCTGTGGCCTCTATCTTCTGCAGAGGTAGATTCACAAGGGAAAGAGCAGTGGAAAAATCGAGAATAAGGGCATAAGAGACTTTTAGCATCACGTTTTTCATGGAAAACCGCAAACCTGTGAATGTCACGTGACCACGGTCTTGGATAGCGTATGCAGTTTGCAGTTCACGCCCAGCGGTAACTGACTTACGGCAACTGACTTATGGCAACTGACTTATGGTAACTGACTTATGGTAACTGACTCATGGTAACTGACTTATGGCAACTGACTTATGGTAACTGACTTATGGTAACTGACTTCTGGTAACTGACTCATGGTAACTGACTTATGGTAACTGACTTATGGCAACTGACTTATGGCAAGGGAAAATTAAATGAAAAAAAAAAATTCATGCACGCCAATTAATCCTAAAAAATATTCATGCTATGGCCTAAGAAAAATTCATACAAGGAATTTCGATAACGAAAAAAAATTCCTGCGGCTCGAAAATTCCCCTCCTGAGCCTCACGTTTAAAGGTACGAAATAGCTTTCTTTATCCGGCTGTGCTGTGCTTGTTCGATTTTTGCACTCGAATAAATGAGTTATCCCTGTTTTTTTTTTTTAGCGATAAAAGAGATGCAGTTTGACTTGAAGAAAAACAACATGGCGGCACAAAACAATGAACACCTTGCTAAAATTTGAAATCCAAGCAACGTGAAACTGCAGTTTGCGAATTCCCACGAAAAACCTAATGCTAAAGGTCTCTAATGCCTTTATTCTCGTCTGATTTTTTCACTGCTCTTTCCCTTGTGAATGTACCTCTGCAGAAGATAGAGGCCACACCCAGGTTTCGTGACAGTTACCGTTACCGTGTATTGCACGAGATCAAGTTCCTCACGAGCTTGACTGTCGTGAGAGGTCCATCATCCTTTGTTAGCAAGTGCGTTTAGGTAACGTGAAAAAAGCCATTGGTCGAGGTACTTGAATTTGGGTTAGTTTTACCATGCACCATTTGAGCAGGACCTCTGAATAAAGAGCTCGTTGTGTTGGCTTGCTGTAATGTTCCTGTAGCTAGTGCCTTGCAAAGAAAATGTTTGGTGTAATTGTTGGACCGTTTGGTTACTTTTTCCTAACCTGCGTAACAGGCGCTTGGAAGTAGTGGGCACAAGAAAAAGCGAGCGCGCGAGATGGAGACACTCGAGTGGAGCCTCGCGTGTCTCCCTCGCGCGCGCCTGTTCTCTCTTTCGCTCACTACTTTCAAGCGCCTGCTACGCAGGCTAACTTTTTCCAAGCACTCAATGAAACGTGAGAGTTTCGAGGATAAATCTCGTTATTAGTTTGTTAGAATGGTTCTTAGAGTTTAAAATGCAATCTTAAGTAATCTAACGCGCCGAAGCGCATATTGAAAGGTCGAAATTCAACGTTGCTTATCAGTGTCACCTGACCACTGTGTGTGTACTTTTCTGAACTTCCCAAGCTCCTGTGTAAATAAACGTTATGTACTTTTTTCATAAAATAGACCAGCCATACCACAAACACTATATACAACACGATTTATTGGCAATTTACAGTCAAGTGAAATTAAATAGGAACAGTATACTGCAAGTGAAGAACTTTACTTGTTCTCATACAGTACCACAGAAATCATTGCTATCAGAAAACATTAATAACTGATATTAACACCATAATGTATGTACAAATAACTGCTTGAATGTTTTGACAAATCTACAGAATGTAAAATTTTTATTTAAAACGAAATAAACATTGATTTCATTAGTACCTTTGTGAAACCATTTCTTATCTTATTTTATCACACTTGTTAAAAAATTTAATGCACATATTAATTCCATCTTCTTATGCACTTATTGACCACTGATTAGGTTACAGTTCTGTGCTGAGTTTCTTATACATACAACAGTCAAACTAGGTCAAGCATACCCATATAGATTCTATTATTTATTTATTATTTGAACATGGACTATTAGTTGTTCCCGTTTGTCAGACTCATTTTTGTATTCCTGCATTCATATTCGCAACTGAATTCACACATAGAGTAGTTTATAAGATTTTCGCTGGCTCAGTAGTCTTGATTTTAACATGTAAGGGAAATGTCTAGGTATGAATTTTATCCATTTTAATTCTCAAAGATTTTCAGTCTGTCTGAATGCTGAGAAGTTGAAGCCTTGAAATTCACATACATTCACATTGTATTTTCAAATAACTAATAGAATCTATGGAGGAAAACTTGACTTGTTTTCACTATTCTTGTGACTTTTGATTAAGTGTTCGATACTGCTATCAATTTGCTACGGAAAGCTGTACATGCTTGTGAATAAAAAGAGGAATTGAATACGTATTGGATTAGAGTCACTTGGGGACTTATTTCACATACCTCATATCTCATAGTCCTATCTAATGTAATAATCAAGCTGTTTTGTAACCATGACTCGAAAAACAGATAAATAAATGTTCATTTTTCCTAGTATTCCTATCATTGCAACCTGTAATCATCAACTATGCATGAAATTATAGTTGCTTTATGATGAGCCGCTTAGCTTGAAAGTAGGTTTAACTTAGAATTTTGCTCAACTGACTTGACCTAGTAAGGGAAATACATGTAAGTGAATCTAGTTCCAGAAAAAGCAGAATGAATTCGAAATTGATTCCCTCAATTTTCTCGCCCTAATCGCCAAACTCCAGAGTCATTCAGCATTCAACCTCTGCTATTTGTTTTACAGAATTAAGTGAGTAGAGGTTTGGGGTTTAAGAGCAAAGTACCCTACTCAACTTCCATCTCAATATCTGAAGAGAATGGAGAGTCCCTCATAACAGTGTCAGCATTCTCGTCTGAAATCTCCAAAGGCATACATGTAGTTTTCTTTGAACGATCGCGAAGTCTTGAAATATTAATGTCATCAAGTCTTTCCTTGATCCCAGTTATTTCCAAAGAAAAGCCATTTTTCTCTGCAAGATGTAGAGCATGAAGGACACTCATTTCTGCATCCAGCAAGTTGTTCTGCCTCCAATGCAAGTCAGCTTTCGCCACACGAAATTGTATCAACTGCGCCTGACTCATTTCATCCTTGTATCTCTCCTCAACAGTTTTAAGGCAATTCTTTCCTTCTTCAATACACTCGATGCTAATTTCTTGACTGCGAGCAGTTCTCGTGCGACAGTTCAAGGCCATTAAGGCGAGCTTTAGAAGGCCAAAATGGTGTTTCTTAAGGTAAACATCGCTGCCATCAAGATCAGCAGACAGACTGATACATTTCTTCATGTAGTTTCTTGCAAGAGACACACGTTTCTCGCGGCCACCCGCTGTCATCGAAAGCGTAGAAATTATCTTTGTCTGATTACTCGCCATTTCATAAAGAATAAGCGCCTTTAAATAACGTGACTTTCGGCTATTTTGCTCTGCTATGGCGATAGAACTTTCTGCTTTATCAAGCTTGTTCTGTCGCCGATAGAATCCACAAAGATGTACATGAATCATAGATACAAGGAAGTGGTAATGAGTTGCAGCTGTCACTTTCGTTTCAGTGTTGACGTTCTTTAGCACTTCTAGAAGCATCCTTTCGGCTTGCTCCAAATCGCTTTGATAACTGACTATCACACTCTTTTCCATTAATAACAACATTTCTAACTCACGATCGCCTCTGTTTGCCATCTTAAGAATAGCACTTTCACGGTCAAATTTATTCCAGCTTCCTTCATCTCGCAAAGGATGTAATTTGTTCAAAATTGGGAAGAACTTGTCGAGAGATTCTGTATCCTTCCATTCGGCGTCTCCCAAATGTAACGAAGAGATTTCTGGTAAATAGAAGGGTATAGTTTCCTCTTCACTCTCACTAGATGCCTTTCTAGGATCCGCCCTGAACTTTCGTTGGGAAAATCGAATTTTGCTTTGCCGTTTGATTTTTGTGTCACGATGTCTACCGCCGCAATCTGCGATCGCCAACGTTCGAGCCGATCGACGATGCCTTGACTTATAATCAGGAAAATGAAGACGACTGCTGATGATATTAAGGTTGTAAATGTTAATGGTATTGCCCTTTCCAATAACCAAGGATCCTGGAACGTTGGAATCAGTTACATTTACGTTAAATACGTCGCCTTCTGGACAGCCCGCCATTTTGCAGTTGGGGCTCGGCTGGCGGCGGGAATCGATTTTGTTGCTAATATGTCGTGCTTCCGGGTGCTCAATGTTTTTGAGCCTGCGCTGAAAAGGGAGTGGACTGCGGCTTCTTACAAAGCCATTCTCGTCCCCAGAGCCCGTCGTTTCTTTTGGTCAAATTAAGCCGAGTGGTTTTGGGGAAGTGAAAGTCTGTTTCCTCTTGATCTTTAGAGAGATCGCGCGTATGAAATGTTATTGACCGCTAGCGAAAAGGGGTGGAGGAGGGGATGAGAAATTCTTTCTTTTCTTTCTAACTCTCGCCCGCTCGCCTCATTCGTCGATAAAACAACAAAAAAAATAAAAACACACAAACAAACGACAACAACAAAAACAAAACAACAACAAAAAACCCGTCTGTGGACAGGATGCACCATCTCTGACCGCCCGTGTGCGCCTTCCCCAGGCCTACGTCACTTAGTGTCTTTTCCCAAGGCGCTTCGAAGTACATGTAATATAGGTACAAATACGAACGGGGCGCGCCAGGGGATACGCGATGGGGGAGGATTCTGCAGATCTCTCTCACCACCCGCGCTTGGTCCTTTCTTGCGCCCATTTTGCTTCCAAGCGTCTGCTACACACGCTAGGAATAAGAAACTGAGAGAGAGGAGCGGGCAAACTTCCATTCGCTGCCTCTATTTCATTTATGCACCTAAAATAACGCGAAAGTGGAAATCCACCTCATAATTAAGAAGCGCAGCTATCTCTTTTATTTTTTTTTTGAAAGAGATAAATTAAGACGATTCGGAAGGATGTTAGCCTGCAGTGCAGGCGTACATTTGGGGCGAGTAAAAGATCTTTGTTTATGATCGTTCGTTTTACGCTGTAACCACTAAGTCTTAGGAAGAGTAGAAAGAGCAGTCATCGAGGAAGTCGCCAGGGCAAAAGAGGGAGACAAGGGAGAGCGAATGGCCCGATGACTTCTCCGCGCTTTTTCAGTTTAAAATGGCCGTTTCAACACGGCGATTAGGCGAACAAAAACACTCGCGCACCCAACGAAAACCCAAGGCAAGGCTGGGAGGATTTCCTTATATGGGGAGCGTTAAGTAATTCCTGCCCGAATTTCCGGAATGGAGTCACAAGCCCTACCAAGCCATTCTCTGATCTTTGCCTGGTCTCAGAAAACTTCTCCCAAAAGAAGACGAGGAGCGGGTAGAATAAAAGACGAATCGCTGTTTATTCATTTATGTATTTAACCATTTATTATAAGCAGTATTCAATACTTATCGCTTGTAAGGGCTTAAGGCCCATTTTCCTTGTTTTCGTGTTTCTTAAATTTTTATAAGGTTAAGTTACACACGCCAAATGAAAGGATGTTCCTTTTAAATTTTTAAGTTAAAAATTTGTTCACTTTCTCATTCTGGAGGAGCGATAATTAAAACGTAAGATAAAAGTAACGTACAAAATTACGAGTCCAATTTTTTTTTAAAAAAAAAAATTTTTACGGGGACTGTCATAAATATCAGTTTTGACCACTCGATCTTACGAGACCATGATCATAGTTCGATTCTTCCTCACTGTTTTAAGGAAAGTGCTATTAGAGTAAAGAAATAGCACTGGAAGAAAACTTTCGCTTTCCTGCCATGTCTTAGAAACTGTACAGATGCCCGTTTAAAACATGATAAACGTCAGGCAAAAGCATAAACCGGGCGCGACATAACAGAAAGGTTTTTTTTTCTAAGAAAGCGAGAAGTACCTGTATTCTGAAATTAATACGACTTAAATGGTGCGTTGTTCAGAGACGACTGGGAAGAGTCAGTGTTTTGTGTCTTTTGCGGTTAATCGTCAACTTTAATGCTGCCCGTTTTTTCACCATTTTCACCAGTGAAGGTTAACATCTCAGATGTTAAATGTGTCTCGACATCTTTAACGTCTCTAGCATAAAAACGGCCAATATTAAAACATGTAATGTTGACAACCTTACAGTTTGCCTTCATTACGATGTACAGCGCCTTTGACGGTAGCCTACATGGCAGCCGAATAACGATCAGATCGTTCATGCTTCATGCATTTTTCCTGACCTTTTCTTCCTAATATAATTTAGGGAAGAAATCTTATACTCTTCACACGCAGAAAAGATACTTAACTTGTACATATAGTGCAAAATTATTGACGACATAAGATATTACAACATATAGATGCAGTGATGGTTGTGTGACAAAGCCCTCGAGGGAAAGCTTGACGACGTATGCGATACTAGTCCACTTGAAGTGCAAGTGCTCTGGCCATGAGGCGGTCTGTCATGGGAGCCTTTTCCTTTTTTGCCTTTCTTTCGGCTAACAAACATCTGAAATATTCAAGGGATATTTAACTAAATCACTGATTCACCTGTCGTCAAGCTGAGCTCAAAGAGCTTTGATTTCTACCCCAGGGATGGTTTAAAATGAAAAAAAAAAATTCTTCTGAGCAACGTTAAAAAAAAAGTGATAAAAATATAAAGATTTTTTTCGAACCTTAGTTTTAAATGGCGACAAACAGTTACTTTTTATTTGTCAAAAATATTTAAAAGAGTTCTCTAGAGATCAAGACTCTTCAAAAGTGCTGTTTTGTGATATATTGCTTTTAAGTGTTTTGGATATCAAATAAAACATTCTTTCTGAACAACTTTCTCTTCTGTGCAGTTTCTTCATTCCATTCTAACCTCACGTACATTGAAATCTCAGTGCGCAAGGGGCGATGACAAGTTAATTGTTTCCCGTGAGCTTTAGTCGGCCCTCTACGCATTTCAGAGGTGAAATATGGTGCCTTAAGCTCAAGAATGAGCATGCGTGTAGCATCTTTACCGTGAGTCGTAATCAAGGTCAATAAAAATAACATATACTTTATACAAAATACCAAGCTCGCGTTTTACCTTACAAACTGGTGATCTTGTTTACGCTGTGACTGCAATCCAGCGTGGATCAAAAACAGCTCGTAGACATCGCGCTAAAGAAGGTATATCGAAATTTCATTTAACCCGAGCATAACAATCAAGAGGTCGTTTTATCAACCACGTTGATAAAATTAGTTCACCTCCATAAAAAATTTCTAATGCTGACTTTTCCATCGAGTGCTAGAACTTCTTCCCGGGGGAGGGGAGGGCGGACCTCTTTATTTGGCCTTAACGGGTATGCGCATCTTTGTGTCGTAGGGAGACTGGGAAGAGGGAAAAAAGAAGGCGCGCACAGGACCACCCCGCACTCAGCATAATTTAATTATTACTATTTTAATTAGAATACCCAACGGGCGGCTCTGCAGAGAAGAGATTCTCAAGGTCTTGAGTCTCAATGAATAGGGTATACAATTTCGCTTCTCCTTTAGTCTTAAGGGGTCATTTAGTCGTTCGAATCAATTGTATGACCAATGTGCTATAGTAAGTGGTGCAAATTGTCTAAAACTGCATGATCTATCGCTTTGTTTTAGTGTAGCGCTGGCCCTGAGGAAGGCTAATTTTGTAAGTCGAAATATTGGCCTCTCGCATTAGCATCTCTACATCAAATATCCGGTAAGAAAGAACCAGTCGGTTTTATTTACACGTTGTGTGGACTACTGCATTCAAGAGCTTTTGCACGATCTAGCCCTTGTTAACGTCTTCCCTCAAGGGATAAGTCTTTACACAGTATCATTACACTAAAGGACAAATAAAAATTTTCTCACCTGCGCTCGACTTCCACCTAACAGGTTGATTTTGTAACGCAAAGGTTTCAATATCTCCACCGCCTTGTCAAAATTGCCCTGCAAAGACCATTAATATATTACTGTTACCGTGTTTTGAGGAGGTTGAAAGAGCCTGAAATCCTAATAATGATTTTCTATTATCTAAGTGACATACGAAAAATGACGTAAAATGCACCCCCCCCCTCCTCCCACATTTCCAACTGAATCTTAAGAAATTCAGCGATACCTCGTTATGGCCATATGGATTCCCCATATGAAGATCACAAGGTCTCGGGGGGGGGGGAGGAGGGGGTTGGTTAGCATTTCGATTTTTTCCGTCCCTGACCCCCTCCCCACAAGAGCTTACTTTTAGACTAGTTAGAAGCCCAACTCGTTTTCTTCTCCAGATTTTCACCTCGTTAATACAAAAAGCTCTGTGAACGGGTTGAAAAGTGGGAAAAGCAATCATTCTGAGCTTTGATATTGTTAAAAGTGCACGGAATAATAGTACATATAAATGATACTTGTCCTCACAAAGTTTAAAAAGGCTTATCAGAATAATGTGACTTGGGACGATAGCCCGTTAAACGCCCAAAGAGTTTAGGCGATCGTATGGACGGGGTTCAGTTGTGTAGTTAAATAAACACACATGTCAAATTTACAGAAACGGAAACGATTCGTCAAAACGCCCATATCAACCGTACCATTAGTAAAAGATTACGCTTTGTCAAAGAATCCTGTCGATTCGTACGATTGGTACGAATGGTAAGCGCTTCAGTCGATTGGTATACCATTGCCAGTTAGCGGCATGCTATTAGCGGCACAGGTCGCCCCAACAAATGCGCAATGGCCAGAAGGGAGACTCCAACTCATTAACAACTGAAACTGAAGGCCGGGAAAGATCGATATGGCGAATTGCTACCACTGGTACGAATGGTACGAGCGATTATACCAGCTACAGAAAGCCAGTCGAATCATCTATTGGCATTACCCTGTGACTTTATGCGTCAACTTAGAGCAACTATTGTCTTGCTTTTAAACTTGCCTAATTTAATTACAAAACAGATAAATTTTCCTACTTTCGAAAAATTAAAATCTCCATACCTTATCAGCCTCCACAAAAGCTTCACACACAGGGACACCAACTTCACGCGAGATTTCACAGTTTGAACCTGAACTATCGCTGGTGAAACAAAGCAAACCATATGTCAATTGCTTTGGAAAGATACTAAAGCCTTAATCTACTGATCGTCCGTTTATATACAATTTAATTGTTTTTTGGGGGGAGGGGCGGAGGAGGGTTAAAGTGGAGGGGAGAATAATGG